TGTTTTAACAAACCCTCATTTTCAACCTCCTACTCGCCGGGGGCCTAGAGAGGCACGCAATCACATACTTACGACACAGGAGGCCTAAAATACAGCCTTTCCCCGTGCATCAGACCCTACGGTTCTACGTCTTGCTGAATGGGAGGAAATAGGTGGTGCTCTCATCGAGAGAGACAGAAACTCTGACTCAGGCAGGCTTCAACCTAAAGAGGAAGTGGATCACCTCACACTCCAGGAAAAAGGAAGTGCAGGGCAGGTGTGGCCTGCCAGCGCAATGAATCAGACTTCTAACAAAGGCACAGGCTTTCTGTTCCTCCCCAGGCCATCCCAGCGGGGGCTTTGGCCCATGTCTGCCCTCATGGCTGTCAGAGGCTGAGAGCAGAGACAGGGTGGGGTCCTTGGTTGCTCCACCTGCTGGGATGGACTCCACTCCCAGCCCTGGGACGTGATCCTCTGAAGACAGAGGGTAATCCTCTGTTTTAAGTTCTTCCTTTCCCAGGGCAGAGATTCTGACAGAGGACAACTTGTTAGAAAAGTAGCGCCCAGGCAAGCCCAACCCTGGGGTGGGCTGTAATGAACCAGTCCTCCTGATGCTCATCAAGGCTTTGGTTTCTCAGCTGAGCCCAATCAGATCCACCCCTGCAACCCGGGAAGGAAATCCCAGGGGGTGGGGGGGGAGGGGTGACAACAGACAAAATCCCCAACAAAACTGGTTCTGTCAGGGTAGCAAGATGGTTCCTGGTTAACACTGGGGCAGATGAGCACATCCTTCCCCATCTTCTAAACGGAAAAGAGAAGAAAGAGCCACAAGGAGACCAAATGCAGGCTCCGCCAACGGGCAAGGAGTTCTCCAGCCTCTGAGGTACAGGAAGTGGGGGGGGGGCTGAGTTGGCTATGGGCATGGAGGTGGCACACATGCTCAGAGCCTCCATGGTCCCCCAGTGCTAGGATACATGTGTTCAGAGCCTCCATGGTCCCCCAGTGATGCTGGGGAAAGTGCTAGTTCCACTAAGTGCCCAGTAGCTGTGTTGGAACCCTACCTTCTCCAAGGACAGAGTGTGGTCTAGGCTGTGCTCTGAGGTAAGGTAGAGAGAGCAGGAGGACGGACAGATGGGAGCTGGGGAGAGGGTCTTAGACTCTGGTGGGAGTCCTCCTGGCAGGGGCAGGAGCAGAAGGACTTCTGTTCAGTCAACACGCCTGCTCCAGCGTGCCAGGCACACAGCCTCCTGAGTGTGAACGTGGCCATCTTAGGCCGGGTTCCCAGCAGGCAAACCTCTCTCTCTCTACCCCTACAGCAGCTGTGAGGTGTTTGCAGTGGGTGCTGAGCGTGGAGACGGGGCGTGACTGTCTTGGCCACAGGCGCTGGGCTTCCCACGACACGGCGAGGCTCTTGCCGGTGGTGCCTGGACTGCCTAACCCTTTCTTCATCGGGCTTCTCCACTCCCTCCCCCGTGCTCCCTCTCAACTGCTCTCTCTTCTGCTCTGCCAGGGGCTACTCTGCCTTCTGTTCCCACCTTCCTCTCCCCTGTGCATTTGCCTGGGGGGGGGGGAGGTCTCCTTTCCGTGTCCCCGCCTGGAGGTCCTGGAGAAATTCCTGGTGGCTCATCTGCCACGGAATCTCCAGAGTCCCAAGGTGTGCCTCCCCCCAGGGTTGATCAGCCCGCGACCTATCCTCTGGTGCGGCCCAGGGCCCGTGGGACTGAACAGCTAGCTACTCACCAGAGTGGACAGAGGGTGCTGATCCCAGAGCGAGCCTCTCTGGCCACGCGGCCCAGGCAGCCTAGCCATCCATCCACACCTCGATTCTCCTGTGGTTTTGTGGTTAGACTCAGATTAAATCATGACTGCCTGGCAGCTGAGACTTGCAAGAGAGTTGCATTCTCCCATGATCACCTGAGATGGGCATGGTCACAGGCTGACGTAGACCAAGGAGCCCGAGAAGACCCTGGGGCTTGACCCACTTGGTAGAGATAGGAGATGGGAGACGGGGGGGGGGCGAGGGGGGGGGAGACGGGACGGGACACATGACTGAAAATGGGTTTGACCTGTTGCAGTGTATGTGTACATATGAGAGTCCATATGCACACAGTGTTTCTGTCGTCAGCCCGTAGGCCACGTCTGATTTCCCTCTATCGCTCTTCACCTTGCTTTTAAAGTCAGTGTTTTGAGCCAGGAGCTCACTAGTCAAGCAGCTAGCCTGGCAGGACAACAGGCCCAGGGAACCCTCCTGTCTCCATCTCCCCGGCACTGCAGCTTTGTCACCGAGGAGCCGGGGACCCAAAGTCAGGCCTTCGAGCTCTTGAGACAAGTACTGTGCCGACTGGGTCATGTAACTGGCCTGAGGTCTGGGGAGGTAACCCCAGTTCAGTTTCCAGCATCCCCGTCAGGCAGCTCACCACTGCCTGTAACTCCAGCTCCAGGGAGTCCAGTGCCCTCTTCTGAACGCCAAGGGTACCTGTATTAGTGCACATACCTACACACACACACACACACACACACACACACACACACACACACACACACACGCTCATACAAATACACACACATATGCGTATGCATGCACACACACATGCGCACACACATGCACACACACATATGCACGAGCACACACAGACACGCGCTCATACAAATACACACACATACGCATATGCATGCACACATACACACACACATGCACATGCACACACAGACAGGCACTCATACATACATGCACACACACGCACACATGCACACATACACACATGCACACACACAGACAGGCACTCATACATTATGCACACACACATACACACACGCACACACATGTACATACACACACACTTAAAAATAAACTACTTTTTAAAAATAATTTTCTGTTCTCACTGGCTAGCTCATTTCTCAGGAAAGCAAAAAGGTGTTTTTTTGTTCGTTTGTTTGCTTGTTTTTTTTTCCTAGAAATAGAAAAGATGATGAGGCTTTGGGGCTGCTCCTCACAGCAGATGCTCCTCTAGAAGCAGACGGGTTTGGGAGAGGGTAGCTGAGCCAGCCATTTGGGGGACATCTGTCAGTGACACTCTCTGCTGAGATGAGAGCTTCCAGTGTTCCCAGACCCTCCATCTTGACTGACTCAACCGATGAGCTTCCTCATGTTCTTCATTTAAGCGCACGGTTTTTTTTTTTTCCCAAGATCATGGACATTGGGTGCAGGCTACAAAGGTTGTGGAGAACTTATTGAAGTGATTTCATTAGTTCATTCAACCATAGCAAAAAGAAAAAAAAAAAAGATCCATAGAATAGCGCTTTGGAGATCTGTGAAATCTGTGTTGGATTTTCAGAATGCTATCGTGTGAACAGAAACACGGAGGGGTGTGCTTCAAAAAGTCAACTGGATGTCAACATAAAAGCAATCCTTTGGCAGTGTCTTTCGCAATCCATGATCTTTGAGGGGTGTGCAGGCATGGGGGAGGAGCGATGGAGGGAAGAAGCGTGCTACTGTGTAACAATAACTCTGAAACAGACAGAGTAGGTAAACAGTCCAGTATTGAAGAGGTAGCTTTTGTTTTGTTTGTTTGTTTTTGTTTTTCAAGACAGGGTTTCTCAGTAGCTTTGGATGCTGTCCTGGAACTAGCTCTGTAGGCAAGGCTGGCCTCGAACTCACAGAGACTCACCTGTCTCTGCCTCACCAGTGGCTAGGATTAGAGGCATGTGCCACCACCGCCCGGCTGAGAGGAATCTTATTATGGGGGAACAATAGCAACTTTAAAAATGCCTTTAAAAGACAACTTTACATTAAAACTCTCTTTATTGTTTCCACCCCTTCTGTGAAGTAAATATAATCTCATTATTTAGAGACAACAACAACAGCAGCAGCAAAAATCCAAACAACATGGAAGCAAGAAAAAAAATCAGAAAAACTTAAAGCTTCCATAACTTCCATGGCCTGTGTTCAGTCCAGAGCCACTGTCTGGCTAGGAGTCCCATTTGTGTGTGGCTCTCTGTCAGCAGTGTGAGCTGAATCCCACCCCACACGTGCCTCTAATATTTTCTTAAAGGTGTCTCAACAACTCAGGACCTGTGAGTGTGTTTCAGGTGTGTGTATGTGGGGGGGGTGTGAAATGTCGTTCTGCAAATATGTTTCTCTTATTGGTTGATGAATGAAGAAGCACTGTTGGCCAATAGGGAAGCAAGACAGGTGGGCCTAGGAGATAAGGAGGATTCTGGGAGGTGTAGGCACAGTGAGTCACGGATGTAGGATGACAGGGGAGTTAGCATGTCTCTGGACCTTTCTCTGGTAAGAGAGGACCACGCGGAAATACTTAGATTGATAGAAATGGGTTAGCAATTAAGTCAGAGCTAGCCAGCAAGGACCCCTAGACATTGACCAACGGTTTCATAATTAATATAGTGTCTCGTGTGTTATTTGGGGGCTCTGAGGCAGCTGCGGGACTGGGCAGGGATCCCATAGTGTGTGTGTGTGTGTGTGTGTGTGTGTGTGTGCACACTGGAAGACCAGAAGAGGACCTCAGTTGCCCTGCTGTACCGCTTTGGGTCTGATTCTCATAAGACAGGGTCCCTCACTGATCACGGCAAGGGAGCAGCCAGCAAGCCGTGGGGATTCTTCCTTGTCTGCCTCACAAGGGCTGCCTCTACAGGTGCTTGTGTGACCAAGTCTGACTTTTTACATGGGTTCTGGGATCTGAACTCAGGTCCTCGGGGAAGAATGTGAGTTTGTGGTGCAGAGAAAGGAGGCTGAATTGGGCATAGCCTTGGGGACCCTTCTCCCTCCCACTGATGTTCTCCTGGTGGCCTTTCTCTTGGGTTAAGGGATGGGTCCTGAGAGGCACCTGCTCTTGGCTTATCTTCCCTGCTGTGATGGGGGGGACATCCTTTTGTATGCTGTGAGTGTATGTTTTTCTTACTGGTTTGTGAATACATCCTGACTGGCCAGTTAGCCAGGCAGGAAGTATAGGCGGGGCTACCAGACTAGGAATTCTGGGAAGAGGAACACAGAGAGTGAGTCACCAGGGAGATGCCATGTAGCCTCAGAAAGAGTAACACGACAGGAGCATTACGGGTAAGCCCCAGCCTCATGGCAATACATAGTTTAATAGAAATGGGTTAATAATTAAGAGAGAGCTAGCCAATAAGAGGACTTAGCCATCAGCTAAACAGTTTTTTTAAATTATTAATATTAGCCTTTGTGTGTTTATTTGGGACTAAAGGGCTGTGGGACCTGGCTGGAAAGAAACTCCGTCGTCACTACTGCAAAAGGCTATGGGCATATACCAATGGGCCGGGCACTTTTGAGACTGAAAGAGCACCCATCTGCAGCCCAGTGGTCAGCCCAGCTGTGATCTGGACCCTGGGGACTTTCTAGTCCATGAGTCACAGAGGTTTGTGCTCCAGTGGTTGGGAAGAATGTGCCAGCTCTACATGCTTCTCCTAGGCCATGAGGACACGTCACTGCAAGAATGTGGTCTGTGGTCACTCGGGGCAGCCAAGGTTTGGGAAGAGCAGCCTCTGTACCTGCCCTGGCCTGCAAAGAAGTCTGGGGTTGGTAGCAACTGTGGACACACGGTGGCGTTCCTTTCAACTGCCAGTCTTTTAGGAAGGGTTCCTAAGCTGAGGGTCTTCTCCAAAGCCCTACTTTCCCACCCTACTGTCTTGACTGTCTCAAGAAAAAAAAAGGAAGAAAAGAAAGTGAATCTATCTATCTATCTATCTATCTATCTATCTATCTATCTATCTATCTATCTAAAGACAATTGAAGATGGATAAAAGGCTTTTGTTTTTAAGCTGATGAACTTACATATTTGGTGTTATTTTGGGGATTCCATTCTGTTTCTTTGTTCAGTCTGTCTTTACACCACTATCATTCTATTTGTATTGTAATAGTTTTGTAACGTATCTTTGAACCCAATAGTGCAATGCCTCCAATTCTCTTTAGGAGTAAGAGTGCTTTATCTGTTGAGCTTTTTATTTTTTTTTAATTTTTTTTTGGTTTTTCGAGACAGGGTTTCTCTGTGGCTTTGGAGGCTGTCCTGGAACTCGCTTGGTAGTCCAGGCTGGTCTCGAACTCACAGAGATCCGCCTGCCTCTGCCTCCCGAGTGCTGGGATTAAAGGCGTGCGCCACCAACGCCCGGCCTGTTGAGCTTTTTTAAAAAATGCCATATGAATTATGTGACTTTATCATCTCTGAAAAATATCTTTTGGATAAAAATATTCACTGAATATGATGATGGTGGTAGTGTGGACATGCTAAAAAATATTATTTCTTCTAACCCACTAAAATGAGATAATTTTCATTTTAAGAAAAAGAGGAAGGGAATTGTGTTCTTTGCTCTCATGTGAATTTATTACTGAGGTTAAGGAGAGTTCTGAGGGAAGTTTCATGAGTGCTGAAACCCCCTAACCTGTTCATAATTGACAGAGCTATTTCTTCTGCTCTGACACGTGAATGGCATGAGGCAATTCCCTGTCAGTCTGTTCCTTGTTTCTTGAGTAGTGTTTCCTTACCTTAAGGCGGTGATCACCACTGGGGTTAAACCCAAGGCTAGGATGACTCTTGGTAGGCCTGCATGTTTTCACCATCTTCCTACATCCTTTCTTCCCTTGACCTACCTGCCTGCTGGGCTTGCTTTGATGCATTTGTAGTAAGTGAATCATTATGGTTCACTTTCAGAATGAAGTGCATGTGTAGCTCATTAGAGAGTCACAAATAAGCAGGAGTCACCGGGTCCCTGTCTTCCCTGGCTGACTGCTGGTACCTGCTTATCCTGGGCTCTCACTTCCTCCAAGGCTGAGAAGTTACGGGCAGTCTGCTGCACAACCGAGCCCGTGTGTCAGAAAAGGAGGGAGTCTCCAGTCTCTGAATACATAATAGAGAAGGCCTCGCATTCTGAACCCGGGAATTTACAGGAGGTACAGTCTACCTTTTATCCTAGTCTCTCCCTGAAGAACTCAGAAAATGAAGCATCCAGGGGGCAGAGACATACAATTAGGAACACACACACACACACACACACACACACACACACACACACACACACACACCCCACGGTTATGTGCCAAACCGTTGTGCCAGCCTCTTTTCTATGTGGCTGCTTTTCTTTGCAGGGAAAAACAAAGCAAAACAAAACAAAACAAAAAACCAAACTGTTTCAGCTGCCCAGAGCTGCCAGGACTCTTACTGTGAAGTGAGGGTGGTTGCTTCTCATGGTTCACACCCTCTTAGTTCCTCTCCCTCCCCAAACTTTGGCCTCCTCCATTTCTCCTCTCCTTCTGACTTCTCTCTCCTCCTCTTCCATTCCTTTTCCTTCCCCCTCTTCTTTCTCTTACCTCTCAGTTGCCCCCCCTGCCCCACCCCCCTCACCCGCCCCCTTTCTCTTCTCTCTTTTTTCATGTGCTATTAGGTATTGAACCCAGGAACTCACACAGCAGTTCATGGAGCGCTTTCCTGCTGAGCCACACCCGGTTCTCTTTCCGACTAAGAACAAGTCATCGCGTTTTTCTTGTCTCTTGCTGTGTTCTCACTCTGTTCTGCCCCACCCACCCCACCTCAGCTAGGATTATTGTTGCTGGCTTGAATTTAGTGGCTTCGGTTCCCCCTCCTCCCCCCCATCACATTACCACCGTAAGCCTCAGTTAGTAACCTGTGAGCTGTGTTTGGAGTCACTCTTGGGACAGGCTGCTTCAGGCTGGGAGAAGCAGCTCTGGGGTTCTCTCCAGGTGGCTTTGGTGGTGACTTCAGCCTCTGTCGCAGGAGGACAGTGGGTGCTCCTGGATCTGATGTCCCTCATCCTGGATGTCATGGTGGAAGCCTCACCCCAGGCCCTGGTATCCATACACCCAAAGAGTCTGGGATGTTTCGGGGGAGGTTCCACCCAAACCCCCTCCCCTATCTCTCTCCAAACCCTGCGGCATTCCAGAAAGCCCGCCAAGTGATGACCCCTCCCCCACTCAACACCACTCCCACAGGGTATTTAAACTGTCCCCCAGAAAACAGATTCATGGTTTTCCAGTCTCTTTCCTGTCTCCTCTGTGGGGGGTTAGAAGGCCATCCCGGAGCGTTGTATCCATTAAACGTGGCCCTTTTCTAATTTGGTCTGATTTAGATTGCTGCATTGGCAGAGAGGCTTATCAGCGTGCAGAAACTTTTCACTAGAGTCCAGGTCATCTGAGGCCCAACTCCCAAGTTTTTTTTGTTTTGTTTTGTTTTGTTTTGCTGAGTTACCGTTACGCTTTCTCCCTCTCTTCACACTTTTTTCCCCCTGCAAATAGACTCCAGAGTCATTCTTCTCACAACTTCTGAGATTCAATGTACTCGGCATTTCAAAATGGACTTCTCTGGGTCTAGTGGAAAGGGAATGACTTGGGAAGCAGAGACAGGAGGATGGCCAAGTTCACAGCCTACTTGGTTAACTTAGTGAGACTCTGCCTCAGAATAAAAAGTTAGAGGCAGGGTGGGGGGATGGGGGGGTGGGCTCGGGGGTGGGGTGGGGAGGGCTATAGATACAAGCTCAGTGGTAGAGCACTTGTTTGGCAATGCCTGAAGCCTAGGTTCAATCCCTGCTTCACAAATAAGCAAATAAAAATAAATAGGTTGTACATAGTGTATTCAGGCATTAGGCTGGCCTGCCCCTGTCACCTGTCAGAATGCACTCAGGCAGTACCAGGATTCCATGATTGTGCAGGTGCAAGGGACCCCTTTCAAAGAAAGACCCCCACCCACTTACACTCTCTTTCTGCTCTCTTTTTCCTGCTGTTTCCCTGGGTGCAGGCAGGACTTTTCCTGTCTCCCTCTTCTCTTCTGTCCTCTCTGTCTCTGTGTCTCTTCACCTCTTTTTTCTTTCCTTCCCCCTCCTTCCTCTTTCCAATAAAACTTCTCACTTAAGCTCTGTCTGCCTGGTGTGTTTGACCCTCCATCTTGGTCACCCTTGCCTGGAATGGACTCCACCAAGGTCCCCCAAGCAACGTTCCCTTCAAGCTTTATCCTAACATCCAGTTTGGTGGTCGGAGGTTGGAAGGCCATCTCAAAGGTCAGATGGAACTTAGAAATCCAGAGCTCTAGTTGAGAGGAAACATTAGGGCAGTTGGGATTCTCTCCTTGTGGCTAAGCTTTCAATCTGGAATGATACAATGTTATTCTTCTTCTAAAAAGTGTGTGAATGAAACCTACAGGACTCCTACAGACCCAGCATGGTTTGTGTTGTTCAGGGCTGAGCTTTGGCCAGTGGGTGCTGATGGGTAAACTCAATCATAGCCTCTCCCACCAGATCTGGCTTTCTTTAAACCTAGAGCTGGGCGACTGCAGACAGCAGCCCCAGCGCAAACTGCAGTCTATTTTGAGTCCTTAGATCTGTTCCCTGGCTCCCGCAGGTGGGATCTCGCAATTACACTTCGCTCCTTCCACAAGCAGCACCCACACTATCCTGCCATTCTCAAGGCGGAAGGAAACCGGAAGCACATCTATCTAGAAGCCTGATACAACCTTCACCTAGACACATAGGTGGGGCGGGGAGGGGAAGGCAGTGAGCCCCATTGCTTGGCTGGATTCTCTGCGGAGTGAGATGACCACGTAGCTCATTTAGACTTGGAACAATGTTTCTTCTCCCCAAATACCGGAAGCGGTCTCCTATTAAAAGTTGCTTGTTCACAGCTGACCCAGAAACTTGATGAGGGGTAAGCAATGAACAAAAGAGAAGTTAAGAAATTATCCCCACCCGCGATGACAGCAGCAGGTGGTGGCCACAGCAGAACAAGAAATGGCCTACATTTCCAAGCCAGGGAAAACCTATCCCACTGGAATCTGCCATAGGAGTCACACAGGAGCAAGGCTTAAGTAACAGACCTGGGGGACTGTGGGTTTGTGTGGCGTGCTAGTGTCCCCTGTGAGAACATGGCCAGGACAGTCGGGCCACTGTTTCTGATCAGCACAGAGACTGAGCCACATAAGACTGCCCCACCTTCGTCCCCTGTTTGTGGTGTACTCTGTTCTTTGTGTCTAACAAGTGACACTTGTGTCTCCGTGGCCTGGCCTGTGCCATAGGACCTCTGACGACTTCTTCTTCTTC